ATTTATTAAATTTATATAAAGCGAGCAGGTGTGTCTCATAAAAAAAATTACTCACAAAAGGGCAAAAGACTCTAATCGAGACTAAACTTTATAGTCTTACTTTAAAATCTAATTTAAACTTATTTGTATTATCGTCATGGCTACACCTATAAAAATAATATATGTGCATGAATTTCCACCAGGAAATTGTATCTATATATGCTACGAATGTGACTCCACATCGCATGCTCTTCTACTTTGTACAGATATCCTGCCAGAAATCTTTAATAGATACACCAAAAATAACATGTTTATTAATTTTTATATTGTATTGCAAAAGTCTCAAACAAAACTATAGAAGTGTAACGATATCAATTGCCTACTATACAAAAGTCAAGAACAAGCAAAATTTTCCTGGTTAGTCTCCGCTCTATATAAACCAATTCCAAATGAGATAAAGCTAATCTTTTATAATCTCTCAAATCATTTAATGACAGAAGTGGTGGAATCTGCAACTCAAATCAAAGAAAACAACTTAGAGGCACCTGTTTTATTTCCAGAAATAAACTATGAGCATCCACAATTAGTTTCAGATCTCCCTTTACCTTATGTAAAAAACTCTGGACCATACACATTAGATAATATCTAGATAGATGAAAATGTTGATTACGAAAATTTTAATTTTCATTTACATAGATATCAAGGTAATTTTTATACCACTACCGTGACTTTATTTCTTTTCTAGATTAATTATACATACGCTTAAAAATTGTTCAAATGTAGATGTTAACTCGTTAGTCTTTAACCACTTATTGGAATTTGATCCTGGAATCTAGAGAGAAGGCCAATATATGTCTTTGGAAAAAAGCCACTATGGAATTTTTGGGAAAATCCAAGATGAAGTTTTAGGGAATGAAACTTTTGTACAAATTCAAGATTGACCTTTGGATGATGAAACTTTAGGTGAAACTCAAGAAAAAACTTTACAGAATTAATTTTGTGCACATTAGTTCCATTTGAAAGCCTAGTATTCTGAGAGAATTTATATATACATATATGTGTATATATGTAATTCCCTCTTCTTGAACCTCTTCTTGAACCACATTCATTTTTAACACCTTTATAATTTTGAGTTCACACAAAATAGATCTAAAAATAGGCAATAATCAGAACTATGCTAAATAAATTGAATTAGACTTGTATTTATTTGTTTTCTTATTTTTCCTTTTTTTTGTTCAAGTAATGGTAAATTAATAAATATTATATTATTTAAGTATAAAGAACAATTTGTTCTGAACTTTGATCATTTAT